TCACAATTTGAGTTGAATTACTGAAATGAACTTTTCCATGACATTCTAATTTATTGAGATGCACCTGTATATGGCAGTTCATTGAGCTTGATTGTGGGCTTTCCTGGAGTTATTGGAGCCGTTGATGGAACTCATGTTCACATCATTGCTCTAACTGTAAATGAGGAGACATACCATTAAACAAAGCATTAGTAATAATTTGTGATAATTTTGCACAATGCAAAGCATTTAAAAATACATTTAAATTAAAATATTTCAGTCTTAATTAAATTATTTTATTGTAGTTACATTAAATGATTGGTGTTGTGCTGTTGTGACTTTAGATGAGCAGGCTCACTATTGGCTGATTCAGAGGTCGAGGTCGGCCATTTTGTGTTGACATCATTGTAGTCCTTAGTTCACAACACTTAAGTGTCACCTCAGTCAACACTTAAGAATCAGTCTTAGACTTTACTGAAAGTTGCTTTTAGCGTCTTTATAAAAGTCTCCTACTCTTAGAAAAGTCCTACTTTTTACTAAGAATTTTTTGACACTTAAGTCAAAGCTTAAGACTATTCTTAAGAGCATTTCTGAGAAGTTTTATACATACGGGCCCTCATGTCCTTTATCAGACAGAACATTGTGTTTAGTGCATATTGAGATGTAATTCAAAGCAATTACTCTCTAAAATAAACTCGGAGAACAGAAACATCTGACTTAAAGCTGTTTGCTGAACTTCCTGTCTGTCTGTCTGTCTATTCAGTCCAGCCTCACATCACTCAGCTGAGGAATGTGACAGCGGTGGAGGGAAATGCTGCTATGATATCCTGTACAGCTGAGGGAGAACCACTGCCCGAGATCTCATGGAGGAGAGCCAGTGATGGACAGACATTCACAGATGGAGATAAGGTGAATAACACACAGCTCTGATACAAATAACCCAAAAACTGAAGATCACTATTATCATTCAGAACAACATGAGAGTGAGTAAATAATGACAGAATTTTCATTTTTAGCTGAACTGTTCCTTTAAAGGGGTAGTTCACTCAAATATGAAAATTTGCTGTTAATTTGCTTACCCTCAGGCCATCCAAGATGTAGGTGACTTTTTTCTTCAACAGAATAGTAAAGAAGATTTTTAGCTGAACCAATGATCTGGTGATTCATAAAATGCAAATCAATGGCTACCGTCACTTTGCAAGTCAAAAAAGCAACACAAAATTAATAGCCGCGGCTCCTGACAATATACTGAAGTGAAAAGATCAGTCAGTGCAAGAAACTGAACATTATTCTTTTGAACCGGTTCTTTTTAGTGAACAAGATAAACCAGTTCACCAAATGGGACTGAACCGTCTAAAACAATTCTTCACTTGAACAGCACAGATCTACAGGTTACTCAATCAAAACTCACTTTCGGACATCCGACAGGCACTCCGACTCAAAATGAGCCAATATGCGGGCGTATATAATCATATGATGAATTAACTCATTTAATTAATTCAAACAGTTCAGTTCAACTGCATATGCACAACATCATTGTGTGATGATGTAGACGAACTGGTCAATCAGTTATTTGAACCAGTGTCTTTGAAACAAACTGTCCATAAGGACCTGTTTGCAGAAAATAATCAGACTCCCCCGTTTGCCTGAAGCTATGGATTACAGGTAATAATGTTGTAAATAATGTTTAGTTCAAATGTTTAATTCGCTTCATAAGATCTCAATATATCGCCAGGAGAATAATTTTGTGTTGGTTTTTTGAAACTCAAAATGCCGGTAGCCATTGACTTGCATTTTATGCATCACCAAGGACCACGATTTCAGCTAAACATCTTCTCTACTGTTCTGAAGAAAAAAAGTCATCTACTTCTTGGATGGCCTGATGGTGAACAGCAAATGTTCATTTTGGGCTGAATTATGCCTTTAAAAGGACAATTTAGCTAAAAACTAAAACTCTGTCATTATTTACTCACTCTCATGTTGTTCCAAACCTAAGTGCAGTATTGTGCAGTACAGTAATTGTGTAGCTCTTCCTGTTTCATAATCATTAGCACAAACAGCATTTCTAATGATTTCATCATCATAGGACACATGACAGCTCCTCAAAGTCTTGCTCAGCATTGTGTATATAATCACTCGTGTTTAGTCGTCTGTTTTGGCCACGCCTCCCGTTTCCACTCATTTCCCTCTAGCAGAACAGCATCCTGTAATTGCGCTTGATGATGGACACACACTGTACAGCAGGAGTCTGATACGCATGAGAACAGCATTGAGTTGTCTTGATAAATCACACGTGCAGAATTAAATGCCTCCAGAATAGCCATCTGTCAATCAGTCTGTCTGTCCGTCTATCTGTCTATCAATCTATATATGTCTGTCTGTCAATTTGCTCCTCTGTAGTCCTCTTTTCTCTCTCAGTGTGCTGTGGCTCTGTCGTCTCACAGAGATCTCAGTAGCATATCAAACAGTCAGGAAGCATCTACCCAAGGCGAGATGGTGTCACACACACACACACACAGAGATAGAGACAGTGTGTGTCTGCAGTTTCTATTCATCACTGCTCAGTTTCTGGTATCTGCTTACAGGCCAGTTCTCCGATATAATTTGTGTTTGGAGGTCATAACACCACAGAATGAGAAATATGATTCTGGCAACTGCTATTATTAGTTGTTTATTACGTAGATCTGTTCAGTCGGAAAGGTGGATACATTGCTGTTTTTCTGCAGGGATGTTTGTTATGGATTCTATAGTTTATATTCATGTGCTTGTGTTCACACACACCTTTGGTTGTATATTTGTGAATATGTGTTTTTGAATAAAAAATATGTGCTGTGCTGTTTACTAATTTAGTCATCACTAGTACTAGTGCTGATAGCAAACACTTACTGTACAACATCCTAGCAACCGCAGAACAGTGTATCAATACCCACTCATAACACCCCAGTAACCATATAGATATCCCCTTGAAGACATTTAGAACAACCTAGCAACCATCAACACCTTAGCAACTATTCTGAACACCTTAGTAACCATTTAGATATCCTCTTGCTGACACCTACAGTAGAACACCTTAGCAACTGCATAGCAACACACACATAGCAACACAATGAAGTCTACTCATAACACCCTAGCAACCGCATAGCAATGCTCTTGTAACTACCCACAACACACAGGCAAACTCCACTCATATTTCTTCAGTAATCGTGTTTTCATGTGTGTACACACGTGAATGTGTTTGCGTCATGTTCTCCAGTCGCAGGTGCGTCAGTTCTCACTGTCCGTGTAAACATTAATCGCATGCATTAGTGTGAAGGAAGGAAAACCTTCGGGTCATCTGCTGGCCTACAAAAATGGCCCCTGTCAAATAAAACACACAGTCGCTGCAGGACTGTCAGGCGGTTAAGCTTGCACTGCACTCTAGACTCAGAGACATCAAGCGGAGGGTGGACACATATCGATTTTTCAGGGAAGGCGAAGAACACTGATCATTAAAGTGGGCGTTGGGGGACGGGCTCCATCTAATCCTCTTATATTCAAAGTTCCCTATCTCACCACGAGCACAGATAGCGTGACCACATTACAGTCAGAAAGTGCTGCACCACATACATCTATTCTCTTTGTAGCTCGTTTGCTCTTGTGTAACGATGTATAACCTACTCAGTTTGCTATTTTCCTCGGATTGCTAATATGATTCTGTTTGGGTTAAAAAAAAACAAAAAAATATTATTGATACTTGAAATTAAATAAACAAATATAATACAACTTTTTTTTCAGCTAGTTGCCAAGGCAATATTTCTCATTTTCATTCAGTTTAACCTGATGTACTAAACTAACTAAAGCAGTGATTTTTTTGTTTTTTAAATGCAGGGATGTTTGTGAGAGATTCTGTAGTTTATATTCATTTGCTTGTGTTCACATGCACCTTTGGCTGTGTGTTTGTGTAAATTGTGTATTTTTTATACTCAGAACACCTTAGTAACTATATAGCAATGCTTTAGCAAACACCTTGAACAACCGCATATCATCACTCTAAAATCACTCATACTGTACACCCTAGCAACTACTCAGAACACCTTAGTAACCATACTGTATGCCCTGGCAAACTCTTTAAACACCCTAGCAACCACATAGTAACATTCTAGCAACTAATTGGAACACTCTAGTAACCATATAGATGTGCCCTAGCAAACACCTACTAAATTGTAATAGTAAATCACAGTGGATTGTGTTTGTCTGTATGTGGGTGTCAGTGGCTAATGTGGATTGTTGTGCTTGTGTTGGTTTAGAGTCAGGACGGCCGTGTGGAAGTGCGAGGACGCCAAGGAAAATCCATGCTGACTATCAGCGGGGTTCGACTGTCAGACTGGGGCCGATTCGACTGTGAAGCTCTCAGCAGGATCGGAGGCCATCAGAAGAGCATGTTCCTGGATATCGAGTGTAAGATGTCCAAAAAAGTCACATGCACACATTTGCACCAAGGTTGCAACGAAAATATACTTTAGTATCTTTTTACAGTTTGTCTGTGGCCTTTCCAGTGCGTCTTGTTCTCTGCTGACCGTGATAATTGTTTTACACCACAATTTATCTTTATTAGCCTAAAAAAAAAAAGCCCTCAGTGGCAGGGCCAAGCTGGGGTTTGCGGGGCCCCGATGCAGGTTGTACCCTTGGGCCCTCTTTGAAATTGTGTAAATAGCACAAATAACTAAATAGAACAAAGACAAAGTCGTTTTTTCAGGTTTGTAGTTGTTCAGGTAAAGAAACTGAAAAATCTAATCTAAAATAGCATTGCATAGTCTTCACTGTATTAAATACAGGTTAATTCTTGTTGAAACTACTAAGTAATTCAGTAAAGAGCAGTGAGTGATTTTCTCTCTTTTTTTTTTTTTTCTTTAGGATTAACATTAAGGACACCAACAGCAGCTAGTAAATTAGGCACAGACCCTTTAAGACAATGCATGGATCCAATATAATGATATACATCTGGGCCCGTATTTATCAAGCTTCTTAAAGTGCCATTTTAGTCGTAAGTGTTGATAATTCATTACATTTACTCCTACTTTCAAACTTAAGTATAAAAGCAAGTTATCATATTTCTTAAAGCTAAGAATCACTCTTACTCTCGCAGTTATTTAAGACAGCTCGAGAGCTAGGTCTCTCAAGTGGTTAGGAGTTGCCAGTAGGGGCTTGTGATGGCGCTGAGGAGACAGAGACGTGCGCAAATCTTTCAGGAGAGGAAGAATGTTCTTGAAATGTTTGACGACGAGCAGTTAAAAAAACAGTTACAGTTCCTCAGTTATTCAAACAGTAACGAGCAAAGAATATTTACATTCCCAAAGAACATCATAACTGACTTCAGTCTAGCGCGAGTATTATATGCTCTTTAAAAACACTCCCGTTATAATCAGTGAAGCTACCTACACTGTATCATGAATAAATACAGTCTATGATAAATCTCTTACCCCTTATTTACACTGCACACGTCTGGGTTGTGTTATGGCTCCGGCACGGCCACCAGAGCTGATCCCGGCTACTAAGTTTGTGATGACAATTAATTTCCTTACCATAATGTATTCTCTTGAAAATTCTTTATTGTCAAATGTGTGTTGAATGTAAACTCCTATTAGGAATTTAACCATTCAACGTGAAGTTATCTGAGAATATTCTTAAATAAGGAAATCTATTCAGAGACTGGTCCATGCGTGTTTCGTCATCCAAAATCCTGTTTGTGGCACAACACAGTGTCGTGAATCAACTCTAAGACTGACACTTAAGATTTAGTCCTACACATTGCTTAAATTAATACTGAGATACTTGATAACTAACTTTGAAGCGCAGCTTTGAGCCAAGAAGTTTTTTAAACTTAAGTCAATTAGCAATGTTCTTGAGAGTAATTCTCAGAGGCTTGATAAATACGGGCCCTGATTTCTTTCTCAACTGTTTACGTTCAGTTAAGACATAACTACCAGTTGTTTTGAAGATTCTTACCAAGACGGAAGATGGAAAACTCAATTTGGTGTTCGCTGTCTTAGACGCGGCTCATTGTATGCGTACCGAAAACAGCGCGCAAGTACTCAGTTCATTCGCGTCTTCTTGTGCTTGAATGCTTTACAATCTCTTCAATTTTTAAATTGGCAAAGCTTAAAAACACATGATAAGCTTTCATGACGACATGCAGCAGTGGCCCATCAGCTGTCCTGAGTATCTTTCATGCTGGCCTCAGGCAGTCGGTTGAAATTG